GGACAGAAACAAATGCTAAAATATTTACTATCTGATCCTTCACAGAAAAAGTTTGCTGATTCCTGATTCTAGAAACTCATAGGATCCTAATAATTCCTAATAGGATTCTGTGAAGTTTTTTTTCCTAAATTCTGTTTGTAGATATTTCCTCTCATTGGTGAAATGACACATGTCCAATTGCTCAGAAAGACATGCAATTCATTTTTAATCCTTATTTATTGCTTGTGGGTATATCTTCACATTTAATATATTTCCTTCATACAACTATATTGCCTTTGCCAAATAAGACCTATTTCTGAAACACTTTCTACAAAATTGACATAAATTAAAGATAGTGAAGATTTATACTTTTATCTCTTGATTTGATAGAAGCCACAACCTAGTACAATATTGTTTGTTTTCTAGGCTGCCTTATTTAATGAGGTTCACTTAACATGGTCCCTGGGGCTTTAAATCAACACACCATTGAAATTGAGTGGAGATTAGTACAATTAATTTGAGATACTGTATCAGTTTGTTTTGAATTAGGTAATGGTGAAAAGAATAACTTGGAAATAAAAACACCCTCCTATTGTAGAGAGGAGTTCAAATTTTGTTGAAATCAAATTTTTGAGTAATATTTATAAAACCACAAGTATCTGTCTATTTATAAATATTGAGTACAGATTTAGCCCACATGTGATAGATGCTTAGATTTTCTCTCATTCTATGATACTAATTTCCAAATATGATGAAACGGACTTTATATTATAAAACACATTTCACATTAATATGGTATATAGGATTAACTCCTAAACATTTTCTAAATCCTATCAATGAAGTAGAAATCTCATTTATTCATTTTTCTACAGTTGTCAACTTTGGTATATGCATGCTACAAAGATATTGTTTATTAAAAGCAGCTAACACTGAATCTTTACTATGTACCACACAGACACTCTTCCTTTAATCCTTATATAACTTTTCCTGCCTCTTTTTAAAGATGAGGAAAGAGGCTTAGAAAGGAAAAATAAATAATTCAAGGAAACAAAGTTCCAGTTAGACAGGAGGAATGCGGTTCTTGAGACCTGTCACACAGCATGGTGACTATAGTTAATAATAGAATATTGTATATTTCAAAATTACTGAGAGAGTAAACTTCAAATATCTCACCAGAAAAAATAGTATCTGAGATGATAAATGTGTTAATTAGCTTGATTTAATAATTCCATGGTGCACACATATATCATGATACCACATTTTACCCCATAAATATATATAATTATAATTTGTCAACATGCAATAAAATAATTTATTTAAAAGAAAAGAAAAATAACTTGTATAAGGTCACAGAGCTATTTTGTGCCTGAGCCCCAATTCTAACTCAAGCAGTTTGACTCTAGAACCGAAGTCTTGTAAGATAAGCTCAAAAGCAACCAATTATAGTATAATAACAGATGTACATTTGGTGCTGGGGAGCTTTGAGGAAGGGTTGCTGGCTCCTCTAAGTGGAAGAAGGAGCTGTTTCTTGCAATAGATTAGATGGGTTGAATTGAATTTATTAATTGTGTATTCCAGCAATATGCGAATAGCATGTTCAGAGGTAGAGTCATAAAAGAGCATAGCACTTTCAAAGAAAGAAAAGCAATTTGCTGTTCTTAAAATGAGCATGAGAATGGATTACAGAAGACAGGCTGGAGGAGCAGGCAAGGGACCTGGTCATATCCTGCAGGAAATTAGTGGTTTTCAACTTTCAATGTGGTGAGAATCCTTTGGGGGTATTTGTTTACAATGAAAATTACCATGTCTAAATTGCCAGAGAATCTTATTTAGTTAGACTCATGAACTTGCATTTCAGCAGGGATCCTAGGTGATTCCAATGTAGGAAGTTTCTTTCTGAATTGCTGTTTAAGACACCCTGGTTAATGTCCTTAAAAAAACAACACAGCAGCTCAATGGAGACAGGAACGTGTTCTCAAAAGTGATTTTTGGTTTATTTAGAATTCAGAAATAATATAATATTGGAGGTGGCTTTTCTTAATTATTTATACAACACTCAAGACACACACACACACACACACACACAAACACGCGCGCGCGTGCTTTTTGCTTATAATTGCCTTTGGATGCTATTTAGATTACTGAGCTATAAAAAAAATGCTGAAAAGGCCAGGTCCAGTTATAGTCATTTTTTTTTTTTGAGGCACAATAACCTACAAAAAACTATGAGCTTTTCAAGCCAAATCTTGTTTTGCCATTCTCAGTCCTTTCTACCTTAGTCCTTAGTAAACTTCACTAATAGGGAATTGATTGTGAATAAATAAATGAATGAATTACTTAATTGATTCATATTTTCAGTAGAATCTAATTTCACACAACATAATTGAAGGATTATTTAAATAATAGGTCAAGCAAACTGCAGTGTTTCTGCACCTCTGCCTAGCATTAATTTTACAATTTAAAGGATTAATTATTCTAAGATAAAATTTCAGTTGACACAAAAATTTAAGATTTGGTACTGTCTTGTTAAAGATAAAATGTATTATATCTCACTGGCTATGGATACAGCTGGTACAGAGTAAGTGAGAACAAATTGCATTTTTGAAATTATCTTTTCTATTGGATTACATATGGTCAGGTGGTTCCCCAAAAGTATTTTTTTGTAGAAATTTGATACATCCCTATCTTCCAAGAGAGAATGTCAGTACATTCTTCAATGTTTAAACAAACTTGAAACAAAAAAAAAAAAGTAGGAGTGAACAGCCATCTAACTCATCTGGAATTAAATGGATGCTACATGTCAGATTCTCATTGGGTAACCAGAGATGGCCTTGACCAACTGGGGATTCTCAAACTTAGGGTGCCAAATCATACACTGATGTTTATTCCACACTTAAGCTTGTTCCACACAGATGGTAGGCATAAAATAGCTGAGCTTCAATGGGTCATGTCTGGAGAGAATGATAGATATGGTCTTTTTTTGTTGACAGGACAGTTGTTTTCACATTCCACTTGAATTAAATTATGCTTGTTCATGCCATGGTGCATAAGCTTTGGCAAGAATTCATAGAGAGAGCCATCATGTGTACTCATTGCATAACAAGTGAGGAGAAAAGGTTGCAAAGTAATATCGTGAGCACAATAAGAAAATTTAAGACAAAAGTTGAACAACTTCCATTTATTGTGAAAAATATATGAATATCTATTTAGATTAGCATATATTAATATGGATTTTATAGATTATATGTAGATATGCATTTGCATAAGCTAAAATTCAGGGGCAATATATCCCCTAATTCTAATAGACTAGTGAAAATATTTTTAATTTCTCATATAAAAAAGACATCATATGTTAGATATGCTGGACAATATGATCAGTATAAGACCCTAGCTTTAATATGTTCACAATCAAGTTTGATAAATGAGACATAAGCACATTTATATATAAAGGAGAAAAGTTAAATAGTAAAGTAAGGTGTGATCACAGCAATATAGTAATCCTCCCCTACCCTTGTGGGATACATTCCAAGACCCCCCCCAGTGGATCCCTGAAACCATAGATGATACCAAACCCTGTATCTGCTATTTTTTCTACACATATATACCTATGATAATTTTAAATTTATAAATAGGCACAGTGAGAAATTAACAACAACAACTAATAATAAAATAGAAGAATTATAGCAATATACTATAAGTAAAGTTACGTGACTATGGTATTGCCCCCTCTCTTTGTCAAAATATCTTATTGTACTGTACTCACCAATTTTTGGACCACAGTTGACCGTGGGTAACTGAAACCTCTGAAAAGGGGGGACTACTGTAGTGGAACCTTTTCAGAATGTGCTCTGGATAGTAATTTCTGGGTCTTGGAAAATGAATGGGCTACATGAAGATAGGTAAGGAAAATTGTTCTAATAAAGAAAGAAAATATGAGTGGACAAAATCTTATTAACCTAATGCTTGTTAAATTAGACCTTTTAGACATGACCTAACCATGTCGTTGGGCATCCCCAAGAATACACTCAGGTTCACTGATTCCCTAGAAGGACTCACAGATCTCAGAAATGCCGTTATACTCAAGGTTGCCATTTATTACAGGAAAAGGAGATGGCTTAAAATCAGCAAAGATAGGCCGGGCGCTGTGGCTCACGCCTGTAATCCTAGCTCTTGGGAGGCCGAGGCGGGCGGATTGCTCAAGGTCAGGAGTTCAAAACCAGCCTGAGCAAGAGCGAGACCCCGTCTCTACTATAACCAGAAAGAAATTAATTGGCCAACTGATATATATATAAAAAAAAAAAAAATTAGCCGGGCATGGTGGCACATGCCTGTAGTCCCAGCTACTCGGGAGGCTGAGGCAGAAGGATCGCTTGAGCCCAGGAGTTTGAGGTTGCTGTGAGCTAGGCTGACGCCACAGCACTCACTCTAGCCTGGACAACAAAAGTGAGACTCTGTCTCAAAAAAAAAAAAAAAAAAAAAATCAGCAAAGATAAAAGGGACAAAGGCCAGAGTCCAGGAGAGACCAGGCATGAGCTTCCAGTTGTCCTCTCCCAGCAGAATCATCCAGACAGCACTTAATTCACATAGCAACTATGTGTGACAATACACAGCTATTGCCAACCAAGGAAGCTGACCCAAGCCTTGGTGTTCAAAGTCTTTATTGAGGTTTCATCACATAGGGATGGAACCCCCCCCCCACCGTGATTAGTCTTTCTCTCCCAGTCTTCAGCTCCCCCAGAGGTAAAACTGATATATCATGGCCCCGGGTTCCAGGTGAATAAAACCAGACAATCACAATAAATCAAATTGTCAACATAAACTATCCTGCACAGCCCAAGAAGTGAGTGATAACTTAGTAACACTCTAAATGTTTCACTGCTTCTCCAGTTGCCAGTTCTGTAAAAGAAAGTTTATGTTGTGCTAAACTGAGCATGTGAGAATTAGCTATTTACCGATCTCTTTCTTTTCATTTCTGTCCCTGCATCATACTTTTCTGCATTGCAATGTGATCTTCTTTGAAGATGTTCCAGTGGATTTGATCGCCATCGGCAGGACTGGGTGGACAGTGGATGCCCTGAAGAGGTACACCTGTGCTTTATTATGACAAAATCCCTGGGACCAAGCTATCGGATATATAGTTGCTACAACTTAATAGAAACAGTGTCTAATCTAACAAAAAATAGCCAGCAGTTATTGAACCCCTAATATGTGCCAGACATTGGGCTTAACTGTTTATAAGTATTACCTCAATTTATTCTCACATCCAGTCTATGAGTCAGGCTCTGTTAATACTCTCATATTACCAAGAAGAGAAGAGGGTGGGGTGAGGGGAGGCGGTGGGGAGGGGTGGAGTGTGTAGAGCCAGGATTTGAATCTGTATGAGCAAAGAGCAGTTCTCTAACACACTTGCTGCTTTTCTAAGATCTAGGAAGCCATTGTTCCTCTTTGTAGTTCAAATAACAACACCAATGGTACAGGGGAAATGACTGGTTACAGCAAATTGGTATGCTATAATAAGTGAGAAATTGTATAACATAGCTGACTTAGAGAAATGGTATAACATTAACTCCGAGGTGAACATGATGGAGACAAGGATGCAATGAAGTGGTTCATGCAATTGTATACAATTGCAGAAGCAATTTTAATCTGTTTAAATGTTTTCCAGTGAATTGCATTTACACTGTCATTTCAGGTCATATAAAGATATCCTTTAAGGTTCATGAAGAAAAGTATTTCTTCTGTCTTCTTTAATTTTAGGATATGAATTTTGAATGAAAATTCTTAACAATTACACAAGTTTTCTCATTCAGTAAAGCAAATTATGCCAAAACGCTACTTTAAAAGCTATTAAGAGATTAATGGTTATTAGAAACTTTTCAAAAATTCATTTTTGGGGAGGGATGTCTCATAATGATGTCGAGAAATACATCTTTAAGAACATTCTTGAACTGTAAATATAGTATTGCCAATGCACCTTTAAGCAACTTTTCAAGATTCACTTGGGGGAGTTATAGGGATATATATTAATCCATCTATCTCACTTCACTTATCTAATAACATAGTTCAAAAAGAATATGTATTTGTAGAACCATAGTTGCATTTTCAGGTAATTTTTTTCTTTTATGTAATCAAAGTTACCTAAATTAAATGTTCAAAATGAATACTGTATATGTGTAAAGATTGAGGATGGAATTCAAACATTTTAATCTTCTTGCTTCAGTGTGGGGTCACTATGAATTATAGTTATACTTTTCCTACCAAATTTCTTTAAGTTATTTTCATATATTTCCTTCTGAATGTTTTAAAACTTTGTCTTTCACATTAAAGTCTTTATTCCATTTGAAATTGGTTTTTATGTATTATGCAAGCAAAGAATCCAATATTGTAGCGTTTTTTTCCTTATAACTAGCCAAATTTCAAGCACCATTTATTGAATAATCCTTCCTTTTGACAATGTCTTGCAAAGACACCTCTTTCTTATATAGTTTCTTGGTTCTCCTCTTCTAAAGCTCAGTTTGTCATTACCTGGACAAACATTACACTGTATTAATTACTATTGTTTTATAAAGATAGTAGTAAGAAATAGAAAAAGTGGTATCTATAGGACAAGTCTCTTTAATTTTTCTCTTCACAAGTGTTTTGACTATTTTAGGGCTTTCATCCTTCATATAAATTTTATACTTATCTTGTCAAGATCTGTGATCAATCATTCAATAAACCTCGTTAGCATTTTTATTGGAATTACATTGAATCGTGAATTATATCACATTTCCAAATTATAGGGACTTTTAAAATTTTACCTTTTTTATTATTGACTTCTAACCTAATTGAATTGCTGTCAGAGGAGATATTCTGTGATATTGATTTTTAAAATTGGTTGGAAACTTTTCATGAAATAGTACATGGGCAATTTGTGTAAATGTTCTATGTATGCTCAATAAAAATGTGCATTTTCTAGTTTATTGGCTGTCAAGTTTGATAAATGTGCCATTCAATCATACTTCTCCATTCTCTTTATTTTCTTCTTCTGAATTCTTTGAAGATAAGCTAGACGTTTTCATCTTTTCCTTATTTTTTTTACATTTCCTGTACATCATCTATTTTCTTATTTCTCTGTGCTTATTTCCTGTATTCCAGGAAATTTCTTCAGATATATCTGCTAGTTTATTAATTCTTCTTTCATTTTGTTTAACCTTCTTTTTAATCTATCCATTGAGGTAGTAATTATAATAAATATATTTTTCATTTCTAAAATTTAAATTTGATAATTTATTAAATATGTCAAGTCATTTTATAGTCTCATGTGAACAGTTCATTTTCAAATTTTATTTTTCATTTCTTTAAATATTTCATATATGATTTTTATATATTCTGTATTGAATGATCCCCAAAAAGGTGAGCTCATGTGTTAAAATCGAGGGAATTATTATGGGATTGTAGTTTTAAGTAGAATGGAGAGGGTTTGAAGTTGATACAGAAGAAAATGAGAGAGGTGGTTAGCAGTGTTGCTGAGCGTGGATGGTCTAGCTCAGGATGCAGGAGAGACATTTCCAGAGCTCCCAGTAGGAGGGCTGTGCTCCAGCTGTGCCTGGCTTTGGAGCAAGCAAAAAAAAGGCAGGTATTTTACTAGGGACAGCTTTGGGGGTTTCTTGAAATGGTGGTGTGGAAAACAACAAACACAAAAACTAGAGCAAGAGGCTTGAAGGTATTGACAAGAGAGGTTGAACTAATGGGAGAAAATCACTGTGTTGGACCTTCTAATTAGTCAAAGGATAAGAAGAATTTGAGTTCACAGGTACATGGATAGATTGAAATAAGATAATTGAATTTATGACTTCAGAACTAAAGCATTTCCAACTGAAGATAAGGTCCAGGGTATGTGGATGACAGCTACAGTGGAGTCTGAGAGAAGATCGTTAGATCACTGGGGCTGAGAAGCTGCAGGAACTGAAATCTGGGAACTTAAATAGACCCCTAGTATGTTGGTACTTGAAGGGGTAAATGAATCTGTATCATATCCAATTAATTAAGAGAAGGCTGTCTAAGAAACTCTTTATTAACCAGTGAAAATGTTCATAGTACTTAGGATTTAGTATTATTGGTTCTATATGAAAGGAATCCACTCTTTCTTGACAAACGGCGTGTTTTTAATAAACCTCATCTTTATTATGCTCATGTTTTTCTTCTGGTATGAACTTTTTTCCCTTTTGACATCATGTCGTTTATAAATATATGAATATAAAATTTAGGGCAAGTTGAAAAGCAATATGAAAGCTTAACAGTGGTAAATGATGAAATTCAAATATCTAAGGATGGAAATGCTTTTTTTTACATCCATTTTTCCCTCTCTCCTATTTTACGAATGTTATAAATTAGCAAAACCTATAAATATAGTCTTGTACAAAAGCAATTTATTCTCTGTCTTGATTTGAGAGCCTGTGCTTTACAGCTTAACTTCTTTGATGTGATTTCTAAAAATATATATATGATCAAAGTGTTTGTCTTTTTGTTTCTTACTAGTCGAAAGAGAAGATGTGTGAGAATACAGAACCAGTGGAAACTTCTTCTCAAACCACCACAACCATTCGAGCGACAACCACACAATTCAGGGTCTTAACCACCACCAGAAGAGCGGCGACATCCCAGCTGCCCACCAGCCTCCCCACAGAAGGTGCCCAAGAGATATTTTGCTATTTTTCCAGAAAAGAGACAAATTCACTGTGTTGCTATGTACTGGAATAGGTCCTACTCTCGAGAGGGAAAGTTTTTCTTTGGCAAACTTGGTTTCTAAGAGATTTCTAAAGGGGAAAAAGACAAACAATGATTGTGGACTAAAAATATGGCTGAGTTTCTTTTACTGCACTGTGCCTTTTATTAAGACTTAGGTTTTCCCATTAATTCTGGTTTCTTGACCCCTCCTCCCTAGAAAAAAAAAATACACATTTCCTTTCATGTGGCTAAATTTTATAGTAAATGAATTCAACATTGCAGTCACTGGATGGAAAGGCAAAGTGTGTATGAAATGTTTATTGATTTTGGATTCTGAACAATAGCTAATTCTACTTATCTACAATTCTAATATTTTCCTGAATGCAGTCAATAAATTATGTTGGTCTTTAACCTATACAGGTGTCCTGTATATGACATAGAAAATGTCCTTGAAAAAGTATTTCCTCTTCTAGGGAAGGCAGAAATACTAGAGAGTGTTAATGCATGGGCACAAATAATGGGGGAAGAAAGTGTGTTAGCCGACATTTGATAACTTTTATTCTGAATGGTACCACTATGAAGGAGTGGGCAGAAATATAAGACTAGTTAGTCAAGAGTCAGCTTTGAGGAGGAAGAAAATATTCTTACTTTTTATTGCCATAAGCCTTATTTTCATTTAAATAGAATGTTAAATTAAACTTTGAACTTTTGCTTTAATTGAAATTTAATTGGATATTATAAGGGTAACTGGAATAAAATGAGGTAGAAGGTACCTGCTAAATGCATTTTATTGCTTTTAAAAGCAACATTAGATTTTAATCCTTATTGTTTTGGATTGTTATATTAAAGCCTGTGAAAATATTTCTGTAATTTAAACTCTACCATTTAGAATAAAATATAACCACTGAAATAAAAAATCATACCTGACCTTTTGTTTATTCAGAATAAGATCTCTTCGTATATGATATTGGTCATATTTGTTAGCAATAAATAAGCATTTAACTTTTGGAGTTAAATTTGAAAATATCGATAAATCTTGGCTATTCCAATTTATTTGGAATTTTCTTGATCTTGATTTTTAAAATGAATATATAAGGTCGTAACTATGAGTTTAATCACAATTAAGTTAGATTATAAAATTAAAAATAGATGTATTTTAAGTTATAACTTTACTTTTCTCACAGAACTTAAGGATCACATAAGACTTTAAGAAAATCTTGGTCTTAACAATCTCTGTAGGAAATTTTAGTACTATATCATGTAAAGCTAGGACTTGCTCTCATTGAACTAGAAATGACCTCAATAAGTTATCAAAATCTAGTCATGTTACAGACAAGGCAGTTAGTAGACAATTACTGGTCATAAGATTGATGTGCCTTTAAAATTTTTTTCTGTTATAATAACTTTGAATTTCTCTTACAGATGATACCAAGATAGCACTACATCTAAAAGATAATGGAGGTAAGAATTGACATTTTTCTTTTATAAACATTCTTAGAAACCAATTAATTTCATTCATTTTAATGTGAGAAATGACTCGTGGACTTCTAAGTGTAGAGTAAGGTTCTATTTTATTCTCTGTTGATATTTAACATGGAAAGAATTCAGTGGGTTGGCTTGAAATTAAAATGGAATCCTAATCTTTGCATTTGTCTGTAAAACTATGTGACACCAATTACCAATGATGAAGTGGAAAATTCATCCACACATCTTGCTGTTCTTTGTTGTTCTAGTCCTTGTTATAATTGTATGTATGGTGGTCTACACAGCTACAGGTACTGAGTTCAATTTTTTTTTCACTAAGTTGACTGGTTAACTTGCTTATACGTAAACTTCAGAAATAGAGACAGAAGTGTGAAAATAGATTATGCTAAATCGTTTTTATGTTTTATATGGAGCAAAACCCAGAAATATTTAAATGAATGTTTTGTTAGTAACATAGTAGATATTTTCTAAGACAATTTAGGAAGATCTATAAGGGCACTTGAAAATTTGAGGGGAAAAATGTTTTACCAAAACAAGGCTGTGAAAGATATTGACTATATTTTAAAAAATAGTTCTTTTCCTATTAAACTATGTTAGCTCATGTATGCTTCTCCTCAGGGTATTTTGGATCTTGATAAAAGATATTATCATTAGTAATTATTTATTCAGCTCAGGAAAAGGGTCTTCTCTTCTTGGCAGCATCTATTATGTAAATGTGGACATATTGTGACATTGATCTGGGCATGGTTTTGCTTTTGCAGCCCCAGATGATTTCTTGAGTAAGTCAAAATCCAATATATACATTGTTAGGGATGATTTTGTCTATAATTGTGGAGACTAGATCCTAAATCACTCAGTCTAGGTTAAGTAATCAATACTTCTATGTTTTCTTAGGTAATGTTTACATATATATATATGTATTATATATATATATATATATATATATCTTTAGATTTCATATCAGTTCATCTTAAAGAGAAGCTTCTTAGCTGTTCATAAGCATCATTTTTATGTCAATTGTCCATTGTCTTGCATCTATATTATAGTGTTTTATTCAATTCATTTCTTACTCATTTTTGTATTAATGTGGTAAGTAGATACCTTTACAAATGGCCATTTGTAAAATGTGTGCTAGTTAGAAATAAACTAAAATCCTGGTGCTTGAAGGGACTTTAGCAATCCCCAAAATCAGGATTTCCCAGAGCAGGATGTCAGTAAGTATCATGTGAACATAAGTCTTAATGCTGGGATTACCTCATTTGGAGGGAGGAGGTGGGGCATGAAGTGAAAAGAAGGAAGAGGGTTCCTAAGACACTAATGTTTTATTTGTTACATTTAATTCTTTCTTTTTTTTAAATATGGGTGGAGGTCATTAACATGTGTTTGTTATATTTTTCTCTAGGCTTTCTTTTTTTCTTATTCTGTTTGCCTAATATGTTTTCTAGTGTTAACAAGAAAAAACAAAGGATTCCTGTTAACAAATCGGTGTGTGATATACTTTGAGTGAAAGAAAAAGAAATTTCATTGCTGGAAAACTGTTCAAAGCCTTTAATGTTCGTTCATTCATTCATTCATTCATTCATTCCTGTTGAATGCTTGCTAATCACAAAGCCTTGGTGCAGGCTTAGGGCTCTAGTAGTGAATAGGGCTTGAACAAATCCCCTACTTTTGGAGAACATCCATTCTAAAGAATTTTCAAGATAGTTACTAAGATTTCATATTGGCATTTCTCCAATGTTTGGTCATAAATTTTTTTTACAAGTAGCATCTCATGGGCTTAATGTTTTGTGGAATATACTTTGGTAAGGAGTTTTCTAGAATATTACCAATTATCCCAAAGAAAACCCTCAGTTTTGTTTAAAGTATCAAAGAATCATAAAACTTTAAGGATTTTCTTAAAGCAGTGCCTTAGAATTACCTTATGCTGCTAAGAAATCAAGTTAAGTAAGTCCCACAATTTAAACATAGGATTTGGGGTATGCCAGAAAGTCAACTGTTGGATTTCCAGATGATATTTAGATAGTTGATATGCAGCAGGTATTCATCAGAATTCCAAAATACCACAGTAAGACTTCAAATGCTTTTCATGTCTAGAGTTGTTTACAAAGCACTTTTCCTAAAAACATTGAAGTTCAGTTAGAATAGACCAACCTGACCAGTGTTAAGATAAATGTCACTTCAAAAGAGTACTTAGGGAAAATCACACATTATTTTTTATAGCATGTGTATTAACTTAGTGTGTGGTTGCTTTTCATTTTGTGGAATGTGGAGATGCAGGAAGGATTGCCAATTTAAATCTCACTTCATTAGTTAATTAAGCCTGTTGAAAATAGAGTTCAGAATTGTCTTTCCCCTCCAGTTTAACATTTTTGCAAGAATGAGCTAATAATGAATAAGTATGCCTTATTTAAATGTTTTCTAACATTTATAGAGGTTTATTTTTTAAAATATCCAAGCAAATACATTTTTTGTAAATTTCCCCATATTGTTGCAAAGAAATTTAGCACATTTAATTTCTTGATTTAATTTTTTTATTTAATTGTGTGCTTTTTAAAAAAAAATAAATTTTATTGTGCATATGTGAGGTTTGCAACATGAAGTTATGGGAATACATATAGAGAGTAGAATGGTTACAATTATCAAGTCAATTAATATGTGTATCATCTCACATAGTTTTTTTTTGGTGACTAATTAGCAGTTCTTAAAAGCACTTTAATTTAGAGGTCAATATATTTCTGGAAAAAGGATGCCATTTATCAAAGTAGTTAATATGTAACTAGAAACCAATGGCTTTGCCTTTCCATACATAGTTTATTTTAGACTCTGAGTCTTTCTGGGACATTTCATGGGTTAAAGTACTTGATTTCCTTAGTGTAATACACAGCTGTCATGATTGTACATTCACTTTCTGAGAGACTTTTCCTTCATCTTTGATTTGCAAGCATAAAACACTTCTGAGCAGCTGGACACCTAAGTCACACAACAGGGCTTCTCATTCAGACGGTCCAGGCTGAGTTACAATCTGCTAAGTCACTCTTGATGAATCTTCAATTGTGCAGTGAGTTTCCTGATACATTTAGTTTAGGTCTAGGTAAAGCCTCTTGAAGTTTCAGGCTAGTTGTTTGATTGAAGAAGTTTTATTAACCTTTAGGATTGACAGGAAATTTTAAGATCTCTAAATAATTTGGGGAAAAGAACATGAAAAAAAAGCAAAAACCAAGGAACTGATATCTAATGGGCGGAGGCCCCCTTAATAAGATAGAGGCTTTCATGACCCCTGTAAATAGCTGAATACAAAAACTCAGAAGATCCAACATAGAGCAAGGCATCGTGGCACGCACCTGTGGTCCCAGCTACTCAGGAGGCTGGGATGGGACGATTGCTTGAGCCCAGGAGTTCGAAGCCAGCCTGGGTATCATAGCAAGACCCTGTTCCTAAAATAAAGTTAAATTTAAAAAATTAAATAATAAGATCCAATGTAAACACAGCATTTTTATCTCCAACTGGAATATTGCTGGTTGCATGTTTGTAATATTAAGTTTAGAATAATACATAATTCTAATCAAATAGCTTATGTGTGCCTTGTTTATGTGAAAAGTAGAAGTGGAGGAAGAGGATGAGAAGAGGAGAAGAAAGAAAGAATGTTTACTATGTCCCAGGCATCATTCTAAAGGCTATACATATATTAACTCATTTAATTCACACAACACCCCTGAGGTGGTCCTATTATTATTTCCATTTTATACGTGAGGAAACTGGTGCAAAAGGTCAGGTTACCTTGCTAGTATGTGGCAGAGCTGGGGTGTGTTTAGCCTTGATGCTAATTTTATGTCCTTGCTTCTCCCTTACAGAATAGGTCTCTTACAGTCAAGCCTCATATGGGAGATGCTAGCTGTTTTATTTATGCCTACTATGATCTTTTACATTTTCTATAACAACTGATTATACTTACAAGTATTTGAAAATGAGATTTCCTTTTCTCATGTAATTATGCATTAGTTTCCATTGTATCTTATCTATGAAAATCACAATGCATTAATTCTCTTGTGTAATTCAGTGTTGTCAGAATCATCAGTATGGTCTCCAAATTACAGGGCTACCCTGTAGCTTGTGTTCAAAATCTAATTTAAGGTTCTTTCAGCCTCCTTGGTTTCCCTGGAAATTCAGGTTTAATTCACCTGTAGATGGTACCTAGACTGCATTCTGTAAATCTATGTATTTCTGTAAGTAACAGTTATATGCATTTAAAACCACATCTTTGGGTTTTGAATTTTAGCAGTAGCTTATTTGAAGAGTTACATTTTTAAGGAATGACCTAGCTATATATTTTGGCAGGTACAACTATTAAATACCTTCTTTGACATTTGATTAGGTTACTTCCAAATGGCACTCATTTCCTAATTAGAAATGTAAATGTCTTCAAGATGCAAACTGGAAAAAGTTATACCCAGGGCTGAGAAGAGGTTTGCAAGCTGAATTAATGGCAAGGATTTTTAATTGAGAAGTAAAGTCTTCAACCAGACTCAACTCAATCTAGCAAATTGAATTGTGCCACTCTGCCACATTACAGATGTCAACATTACTTCAAGCTCTAAAATCCTGATTTGATTTCATTATTCAAAATTTGTTGACTGAGGTTTATCAAAGTACCAAAAACTGCACTCTTTCTTGGTTCTTTTAAAGTTCTTCTCTTTGATAAGGTTTTTTAAAAAAAATACTTGAACATAAGTTCTTAATTGCTCATAATATTTAAAGTATAAACACTCCAGATATGCATGATGTATAATGCAAATGGTAATGTGTTTGACATTTCTTCTTATTGCTAGGAATTTTACAAAACCAGAACTCTGAAAGACTGCATTGTTGAGTAAGAGGGTGGCGTCTTCTTCAAGAAGATGAGGAAATTGATACATTAAGCAGTTTGCAGAACGTGATTAAGTTAATTCAGAGGCACAAATATGCAAAGTGATTGATTT